TTCATAGCAATTATCAAAAGTCAAGATCAAAGAATCTCCACATTGCACTATGAACAAAAATCCACGCCTAATTCATCGATGCTCACCTAAACTTCAATAACCTAGCTACGATAAGCTTTCCAATCATTGAACGTCGTCAACCCAAGGCCAAACCCTCGGGAGCAAAATATCTACCCGTTCTCTTCTCGTCAATTTTTCAAAATCTGCCTGGAGCACGTCTCGGTGACGTGATTCCCGACTCCGATGACACGAGCCAGATAATTCGCGTGTCTCGCACGCGATAACTCCTCGCTCAGCCAGGGTAAACGAAGTTAAGAATTTCTCAGACTCCTCAGACCCTCGCCGGCACCGATCTAATATCAGACGATGCTCCCGCATAGACTCAATCTAATAGAGTTCGTGATCTACATAAAGTATCGCCGGCATCGGGATTAACTTTTACGCATTAATATGTACCGTGCGGAGTGTAGAGGTGGTCTTCACGCTGCTCTGACTGCGTACCTTCTGCCCTGGCTGGCCCGCAGCCGGGGCGCGAAATTTGTCAGGATAATGAGAGACGCTCGCGCGGCCAACTTGCTCCTCTAATTTAGTTGGAAAGTGTCGCGTCCTAGCAACCATGCCGTTAATAATTCCACGTCGTTATCTTGTCGCGTTGCCGGTAAAACGTACGAGCCCACAGCCTCCGACGCGGAGGACGCCTCCACGACTTCCGGAATGGAAGTTTCAGACACCGGGAATCTGCTTTTGCATATTGCGCGCACGTAACACCCGCAACCATCCCTGCTTGCCGATATGAGATACAGTGATACTATGTGGAAATCGAGAGCAAGATTTCGTTTCGTCATCGACCTTGTTGCCCCTTGCCTCTTCATTGCGGAGGACGAAGATCGTGTCTCAGGTTCTTTGGTACGTGACAAAGTAACAACACAGCTTGTATTGTAGTTTTCAATGTACGCGTACGTTGCATATGTAGGATGAAAAACAAATTAATAACTACTGGAAATTCCTTAACCTTTCGACTGCTACACCGAAATCACATGTATCGCTCAGGACGCCACGAAAGTATTTCTTTAGTGCATCGCTGGATGCTGGATTTGTTCTAATATATTTTTGATTGATATTCTAATGAAAATTTTTAATTGTTCAACGGGGCACTTTCTCTTTCAAAGTATCTTCTAATTAACGGTTTTATTCAAAATGCACTAACCGTCAATTTTCATTGAATTTTTACAATTGTAAGCAGTTGAAGTGCTCCGGTCATCAATGACCACCGTGGCAGTGAAGGTGTTAACTAATAACAAGGAAAAAATACGCGCCACTCAAACTCTATAAAATAGAATAAAATATCTGTGATTAACTCAAAACTCACTTTACACTCCTCTACTTCTCCCCGAAGAAACTTTGCACCCCTTTAACACAACTTATCAGTGATGTAACCGATTAAACGAATCGATGTAACGAATTATAATAGACGGAGCCATATGTATAAATTTCAAGAGGAACAGAATAAGAGAAGATATATATAGGAAAAAATTGATCACGGGAATATTATAATCCCAGAAGAAAAATCGCGATCTCGAGTGACCAATTGGTACAATATCGAATGCAGTATTTTGAAAGAGAGATTAAAAATCGGTCATTTAGGTGATAGCGGATTTAATCTTAATGCTCGCAAAGCCCTTATCTGCAGGCTTTCGCGTGGATACAAGCGTGGTTTAATCCTTCGATTGGAATTGCATGGGAAAAACTGCGAATTACTCGATCGAAATGAGCGATTACGTTGGCTCCGTAGAAACGAATCGGCGAGTCACCGTGTAACCGACGCGAACTGCCTGATAAATCGTCGGGTTTTTCTCCGTGATCGATCCACGGAAACGTTCCCTTTTGTCGCGACATGAATTGTAGATTCGCCTTATTGTACGTATTATATCGGCAAGCAGGACAGACGGACAACAATTCCAACCCCTCGCCGACCATCTCAACCCCCTGGCACTCGTTCGTTTCTTTACGACCGGTCGCCATCTCCCTGTCTATCCTTTAATTCCGCGGATTCGGATCACTTTTCCGCGTTCAATTAACGTTTGCTTTGCATATCCATTACTTTTATTTGTAGCCGGATTTATCGCGTCATCGTCGAAGAGCGACGTCCCGAAAGGATTCGTCGTTGTTGTCCACGGTTATTGTCAGACCTGAATGGCTCCCCACTTGCTTTTATACACGGTACAGCGATTTTTCCTCCCGCTTGAACCGTTTTTCGGCTCGTCACCATCCGATTCAATTTGTTTGTCATTAACAATTTTCATTTGTTCGCCGTCTCATTAATTCCTCAAAGAGCACTCGAACCTGTCGTTGTACGTGCCGGTTAATACACTCTCATCCCGGTGTCGTTGTTGTTCCATCGGAAATAAAATTCACGGGACATTTTCAGAGCTATTAGCGGCTAATAGAGGTGTGACAGAGAGGCATCAGAATTGGATGAAAACATGGATTTCGAGAATAACCTGATTTTTGCTTTGCGAAGATCTGCGACAGTAATGGGCCTCATTTTCAGTCAATTGGAGAACGACTTTTTTATTTGCATTTTCCGGATGAAATGAAGATATTTTCCGTGATTTCGAATATTGAAAGTACACTTAAGTATCGATGAGTATAAGTGAATTCGATATTTTTAATTATATTGGTGATTATAACAATTGTTTAAGTAAGGAATTTTAAAGTGAGAGGTTTATTTGCTATTCTGCATTGCATTCATTCACATCGCATTAGTAGGAAATCGAAAAATCGAAGTTTGGTTAATTAATTTTTCCATTTGTGTTATTTTTTCATCACTGTACTATTGAAATATCCGTTATTTAGTTTATGTGACTTCTCACACGGCTGTTTTGATTAATGTCGTTCTTGGACTCGTTTCAGGAATTTTTAGATCATTAATTGTTCTCGTTTGTTTTGTTCAAAGGTCTTTGGTCCATTGTTCTTTTTACCGGTGTAATAATTTTCTTACAGCAGCTACATTTTACTTCTTCCGAAGTGCAACGCGCTGAAACGTTATATTTTGACCATTTTTCTTCCTGAATATAAACTTGGCCAAACTGTCGTCAAAGCAGCAAGACCATTTAGTTCTTGCCAGACTGGAGTTAATAAACTTACCTGCACGATGAAAAGGATTTATCGATTCTGATGTTTCTCTTGATTACAAAATTTTCGTTTTAAAACGGATTGTATTCTTCGACAATTTTTAGTTTAAAAATAATAATTATTCAACGACGAGTTGGTACATTATTCGTAATGTAACTTGATTATTAATCCTGTTAGCGAATTGTTTTATGGAATGAATAATTATTTCGTTTGAAATATGTTTATTTATCCATGTATTTTATATTTATTATAAACTCTGGATTTCGTATGTTAATAATATTCGTTATAATTTTATAAAATCGTGTTAAATTTAAGCGTTTCAATTCTGAAATCATTTTTCATATTTCATCCTTTTGGGAGACTGACAAATATTCACGTGTACGATGAGTTTTTGTGTAATTCAAACACGATTTTAAACAACACAAAGATGCGATATTCCCGCGTGCGTACATCATTTTACTCGTGCATTTCGAAATATTTTCCAATATTATATTGTTCCAGTTAATATCCATAAAAATATTTCAAACAAATTCCACTGGAAAATAGAAGACAACGTAGTCATAAAAGTGGACAAAATTTTCTCTGTCCTCGACAAACCCGTTCCTAAATATGTTACATCTTCATCCACTTATAATACAATCTCTCTCATCGATTCTCCATTCATGGAATAAAATATTAATTATTTATTTTATAATCGTATCTGTATTCCTAATACGATAAACAAAAATTTAGTAGTATTTTACCCCCGATTCACCGGTCAAAATAATTAATTCCTCGTTCGAAATACCATTAATTTTCCTGTCAAAGTACTCGATCGACATTTCGAATTTTGTCCTATTTATTAAATTTTTATATACGAAATAAGTTCCTATTTTTTATTCTGACACGTTGATCGACATCTCGCGCGAGTGGCTTATCCGATAAAAAAACAATTACACGTCCCAGATATAAAGCTAGAAACATTCGTCTCTTTGTTCGAAATTTATAGAAAAAAGGGATGAAAAGAAAATAGGAAGAAGTTGTTGCTCCCGTTAATTCCACTTCTTTACATTTCGTCGAAAGTCCATCGACGATTTAAAGAAAGTTTTATCCGGATAGCCGGTAGGGACAATCGAGATGGAGGAATTGGTTTGAAGAGGCGTCGGTCATTTCACCCCATCCTCGGGTTTGAGATTCGATACAGAGCGATCCACGCTGCTGTTGTTCGTCATCGTGAATAGTTTCGTCAAACAGAAAGTTGAAGGAATTATATCGACGTGGCCAGTGAAGCGGCAGACAACGGATTCTCGTTTATTCGCCTTGTTCCACGAACATTGTTAGCCGGTTACCATTTGCTCGGATGTTCCCGGAACTTTCGCGACGATGAAAAATTCAATTAATTTGAAGCAGTTAAGCGTGTCTTCCTCCTTCGTTTTCTTGTAAAAAGCGCGAAATCATAATAACTACTACTTCGTCGCGAACTTCTTCGTTAATTAATAAATACCGGAGCTTACTATCGGTAATTAATTATTTTTACTTGTCACTGTCTTACAGCTCCTCGTTATCATTAAACATTATAACTTCGAATCCAAGTATACCTCAGGTAGCACCAATAATCCGATTGTTCGTATTAAAAAAATACCAAGTTAATAATAACACCAAAAATAAATTTATTCTTTTTTGTTGAACTTATTATATTTTATATGTAGGGACGTATCCCTACCGACGAAAAGACACTTTTCCACAGCGATGGTGTCATGTAAAATGACTGTTGAAAGTAAAATAAAAACCGGTAGCAGTTGGGTCGTAGTTCAACAACTATCTTTCTTTGTTATAATCCTTTTTTAGACACTTTATTATGGTAGATGTTACAATATTTCGGGGTTATGGCGTTAAATGTTACGTCAAGACTGAAGAGTCTTGTTTTCGGAGGGTTTTATATATTAAAGTCTTATGGGTGGTTGGCTCACACTGAAGTCATGCAGTTAGTCATGTTTTGTTATGACGAATTGGGACTTTGGGCCGTGACCATGGCAAGGGTCCTGAGTCAATGGGGGCCTAGTTTATGTCTTTACGACCACCCCCCATGTATTGGGCCAGGTCGAAAAAAGGGCTGTCAGATAGTAACCAGAATGCAGAGTGGAGCATTTTCAAGAACGAAAATGAACGCTAGTAAAATCGGATACCATGCCTTCGATTACTTAATCCCCCTACGATAATCCCTTCATATATGTGTTTAGTAACAATTAGGGTAAGAAGACCTTAGCGTCAGACTTTGATCCCAGTCTTACGATGGTTTACTCTTTGCAATAAATATTTGAATAAAATTGAACGAAAGTGGAACATCTTATTATGGATTATAAAGTTTATGGAGGCTCATAAGTAATGCAGGGTTACAGTAACTGTTTGTAAATTTCCAACATTGCGAACGGAATTTTGCACGCTTTACTTTTAATCCATATACGTGTTATTCTTTACATACGCACATTGTTTCCCAATCCTAGGATGCCGCGATTATGCTAACGAGCGATGACGAATTACTCGATGGAACAGGGCACTTGCAATGTCTTATAATTTATCCAAAAATGTGAAACATGAAAGAGAACGAATGCAAGTATTAGATTACCGAGATATTGATCCAAGGAACATAGCAGCGACAAAGAAACGGGGAAGAAAATATAAATATAATCGAAGAAACCTAATCTAAACCTAAACCCTGCGATATTAATTCAATTAACACTTTTCCACGCACTTTTGAAATGATAAACTCAGAGAGCCACGATAAAATTTTCATTATTCTTACGACACGATGGTGAATTATCAAACAATATCGCAAAAGAAAAATGGTGAAAATTATTAATGTCATTTGTTCAAAGTTCTCTATTTATTTACGTTATTCAAAGTTTCCAAAAATGATTAAGAAATATAAATTTAAAAAATTAGTATCGCCGAACCCTAGTGACAACCATGACAATCAACGTATTAACACTAGAACTACCAACCCAGTGGAAATGACTGGTCCCAGAATTTCCCTTTTTGCAATCATCGAACACATACACCTGTTTTAAGAACAAAAATTGGTATCAACCCATATTAAGAAAGAACTGTAATCAATATATTCACTCATATTCATCGTACCGCTGAAATTACTATAACCTGTGCACGTTATAGTTAGGTAGCCATTAAAGATCGGTAGTTCTAGTGTTAAGAAGTATTCTCTTCCACTACAGGGTGATTTCTACAAGCTTCCATTTAATTCGTACACGTGATCGTACTTTGCAATTTATTTCCTGCATTTCAAATACCCGACACAGAAGGCTAACCTAAACCCAAACCCTGCGATACTGATTCTTAAGAAGCATTCTCTTCCACTATAGAATTATTTCTACGAGTTAGCATTTAATTCGTACTTTGCAATTTATTTCTTACATTTCAAATACCCAACATGGAATCTTAAAGAGCTCGATCCAACGTCAGCCTCCGCCATTCTCTCTCGTTTAAAGAAATTCCCTGGAACACGACACAGTAAGAACTATCCACTCTCGTCTTATCAAAAGCAACGTCCCGAAAGCCTAGAAAGGCGAGGCCTATATGAGCAGCCAAGCAAACGTGGAAAACAAAAGAACGCTTTGCGGTCTCGATAAATATCTGCAGTAGCCAGCAGAGGAAGAGAAGAGAAAGAAGAAAGAAGAGAAAAAGGGAAATAACGGAATTCCCTTTACACCAGGGGTATAGCCACTGACTCAGCTGGGCTTTCACGTTCTCGACGTAATGAAACGGGACCCCTGATGTCATTTGGCCTGGCTTTCTACCAGCGTCAGGGAGCTTTTCTAAGACGACCAACACCAGAGGAGCCCTGTACACGTGGAGGAACGCACGTAGTGTGCCGGCACTTTTCGAATTAACCAGCAGCCTCGTCTTAGCTAAAACTCCCGCGTTCGTGAGACGCCTGAGAGACGAACGGAGACAGAAACGGAGATATGGAAGGTCGGCCAGGAGGAACGAGCGAGGAGAATAGGCCCGGGGAAGAAAGAGAGGATTGGCGGTAGTTGTGTAGCCACAATTCCAGGAGCAGAGCGTGACAAACTCGCCCGGAAACGTATGAAACTCGGCCCGAAGCTCTCCTTGTCCCTCGTCGACCACTTTATCCCGTCGTTCCCGCCGCTCTTTGCAAAAGCGTATAGGCATCCAGCTGTTGTCCGTCCATCGTACCCGTTGCGAAATCCTGCAAAAAGTTCCACATCCTGACGCCCATGTTCCTTTAGCCCTCTCTCGGGCCAATCTCCGAGGTGTTCCGCTGCCTTTCGTTTCGTCGCACAGGTTCCTCGAGTAATTTTCGGTTGACCGTAGCGGCCAATTAAGCGGAGTCTGCCGTTTGGCCCTAACTGACGGCAGGATTGTCGGCACTGCAGATGGCTTTTGGGGTTGTGTCGGATGAATTTGTCGTGGAATGCGTTCAGCGTTTTGACAGAATATATGGCAGACTGGTCTTTTTGCTTTGGAAACCGCAGGTGTCTGTTGGATAGCGGTGGACCAGTTTGTCGTAGAATCGCGCCAAGTTAGCTTGCTTCTTTAGTTTCAGAATCTCAAAGTGTATGACTCTGGAGATCGTGGTGGATGAATTTATCATAGAACGGAGTTTTCAGGTGGACTATTTCCACGGAATCTTACGTTCGAAGTTAGGCTGATCTTTGACTTGGGAATTGTGTGTGGCTCTCGAGATTATGGTCGATGAATTTATCGTAAAATGGAGTTTTCAGTTTTCAGGACTATTTTAACGGAATCTTATCCGACTTATGCGAAGTCAGGATGATTCTTCAATTTAGAATTGCGTCGATGAATCGAATGGTAGCATTTCTAGAGTACCAAGATCGGTACAAGTAAAGGATTTATGTATATAGAAATATTTCACGTCCATTTAAACATTCCCTAGAATATTAAAGAAGCGAATCAAAGATTCTCTTGGATCACCATTTTTGAAGACAGAATCGATCATGTTCGGATTATTAGTTGTTGAAATTTCCATCGTAATTATTGTTAAGTACTCCTCGACCAAGTGACCATTCTTTCACACACGCTTTTAACCATTTCACTCCTGCAGACGTTGTACCACGTCACGTTTTCAACGTGACTGCTGGACTGAGAACGTGATACAACGTCCATGGATTTCAAAGTTGTTAGAGCTTAGAAAATTCTTTCCGAACGCTTATAATGCGTGATATATTTTGATTAAGTTTTCATTAGATTTATAGAAAAGTAAAATTTGTTCGATTAATTCAGGACAGTGAATTTGCTGCTCTCTTCATAACTCAGGAGCGAAAATGATAAATTAATATCTCGCGAGTCTCGAGTCTCTACGTTGCCCAGATTTGACAAAAATCTGCTGTCACTGAGAATCTCGAAATTTTCCAATTTTTCGGTTGCAGGTACTCGCTTTGCCTGGAAATTACCCTCGCTTACAGGCATATCTCGCCGCGTGCATTCAAATTCCCTCTAATTGCGCTGGCAAACAAGATAATCCTGGTGCAAGTTTCGCGAAACAGTGGAAAAATTGCGAAAACACGGAATATCTCTTAAAAGCCCGAAGAACATCCGAGACCTCTAAACCGTGGAAACTTGGGAAACTCGAGACTCTCGTGAGATAAAATTTTTTAGCCCATCTCGAGGTGGGAAAAGAAAGTTTCAAATTATCGAAAGAATGTGTCTGAGGGGAACGAAGATCCTCGAGTCTCGCCACACCCCTTAAGAAAGGATTCAAAAGTCCCATCGACACCGTGGTCGTATATTTCTCAACAATACCAGCCGAACTCGCGGAGAGACCACGGTTGGAACGTAAACACGAAATATGAGGAAGCCGTATTAGCCGATATGAGAGGAGATTCGAAAGTAGGGGTGCGTAATGAGGGAGGGTGGAAGGCAAGTAGGAGAGGAGGAAGAAAAAAAGTTTTCTCGTTTATCCTTAAATTTCCAGCGATCGTAAGTTAGCCGGCACGCACGTACACACGTATACCTACGGATGCCATGACGTCGATCAGGGAACAACGCCATGCTTTTCCACTCCCCTAAGTAATCCAGATAACAAAGTTCCTCTCAATCTGGCCTATCATCGCGCCAATATCCGTTGGCTGCGTCCCGTACCACCATCTCGATATTTCCTTCAGCAAAGGAGGCTGTTGATCGTATTACTTGCTCCCGAGAAGGGATATTGCGGAATAGAAAGCCTTTTCGCTGGCTCTTACCTTGTATACGATTAATTCTCTCTACGTGTACGCAATTAACACTGCCTCGCCTAGTCCGATACTCTCTTTTCCACCCCTTTATCAACTCGTGCACTCTCGCCATAATATTGCGTTATGACGTATCCTCGCGTCGTATTTACATTCTTTTATATCCTTTTGCAAGCGCTCATTGTTTCCTGTTCACCACGGTTTTATCGGAATTTTTGTAAACATTCGCCGCCGTTTTTGCGTGATATTCAGAGTTCCTTGAAATTGCTTGAAGTTGAAAGAATTCCGAGATATTCTTATAGTTCGAAGTTATGTTTTCTTGGCTTTTAACGGGATTTTAAACCGTGCTGAAGTAAATATTTTTGCTTGATTAATCGTAATTATTAACCTTTGAGAATTTATTTTCTTTCCATTTCTGTCGGGAATTTTTCAAATTCTGTTATTAATATTATTCTTCTCGTTAGTAATTTTGCCGTTCTTTCTTAGCTTGTTTATAGATGGCAATAATTTATTTCCGTTTAATAACGAGTGCTCATTTTCGATGAATGGAGTTATTTCTATACCTCACATTTTCAGAAATTCTTTCGGCACGAGTATCAACTTGTTCCAGTTATTATATGGATGATTACAAAGTTGATTTTCATGGAGATTAATATTTCGATAAGTTCGCAGTACTTTTAAGCCGGAACTTATTTCATATTTAAATATATAAATCGCTCCGATATTTATACCGATAACAGTCCAGTTTATCCGATTTTGAATAATAATTAACCATTTAGTTGTATTAATTAAACACCATAAACGTAGGTAAAAAATATTTTTCCTACCGGTTTTTAATTCTATATTTCATTCTGTACTACGTTATACCTCGCCATGAATCATGTCAACGCTATTTA